GGTGCAGGGCCCAAGCACTTGGGCCATCCTCCACTGCACTCCCTGGCCACAGCAGAGAGCTGGCCTGGAAGAGGGGCAACCGGGACAGAATCCGGCGCCCCGACCGGGACTAGAACCCGGTGTGCCGGCGCCGCTAGGCAGAGGATTAGCCTGTTGAGCCACGGCGCTGGCCAAGACATTATTTTTCAACAAGATCTAGACCTTGTAGGATGGGCTGATTAATTTTGCCATTATTACTTAACTCTGATCATATAAAGAAATTCTTCAACCGGTTCAGGGTAAAACGAAGTAATCCTTGTAAGTGTTCTTCAGAAATAAAAGCATGATTTAAATACAAAATATCATAGGCTTGTCTTAAAATGCATATGCTAATCTTTACTAATTTGAGTACAGGGCTATAAAAAACAGTCTATAAGCCAGTATCCAAAAATTGATTTACTACACTTGTAGGAAAAAAAAAATGTATAGCTATAGAGCCTAGCGACTCATCAGTTTTTTCCTGGCCTCTATCCAGAGCAAAGTTATTGCTTCCTTGCAGAAGTTGAACTACATGGCTCTCATTCAGTGTTACTGCTTATTATCTTGGGGGATATTCAGTACTCTTACTCTAGTCTCTCTTCTGATCTGCAGAGTGGCTCTTGTAAGCCTTTCCCCTTCTTCTCCAGCTTCCCTGTCCCTCTCTCCTTGTTTATGAATGGTTACCCCTCTACTTGAATGAAAATGTACAGATCCTAGGATATGAATTCTCTAAACATTTTACCCCTCTGTCTCCATTTTTATATAGTCCTTTTCTACTTGGTTCTTTCTCCTTTGTACTTCCTAAAGAATACAGCACATTTGCAAGAATAATCTGCTTACTGGAGCTCATGATCACATGAGGGGTCTTCAAAAAGCTCATGGAAAATGTATATTATGAAAAATCACTGCAAAAATAAATATTTTTGTGCCCAAATAAACTTCTACTAGCTTGTTACAACATGTCTGAGCAGGATCTTGTTTGAGGCACTAAGAAGGGTTAGACAGCAGCTCATAAACAATTGGTACTACTGCTTACAAAAGCATTTCAAATTTCATGGAGAGTATATTGAGAAATAAAGTTTATACTTTTTATAACTTTATCTTTTAATTCCGTTTTCCCTAAATATTTTTGAAGGACCTTCATATTTCTTTTGGCATCTACAACTTCACCTTTAACCCTTTCCTCCTCTGAATTTCCAGTTTCTATCTTCTGAGACTTCCCACAACTTCAGTGTTCTGAATTTAGAGAAATTTTCCCTGGTACTACATTCTGTCTCTTTCTCTCTCTCTCTCTCTTTTTTTTTTTTTTTTGACAGGCATAGTTAGTGAGAGAGAGAGACAGAGAGAAAGGTCTTCCTTTCCGTTGGTTCACCCCGAAATGGCCACTATGGCTGGTGCGCTATGCCAATCCGAAGCCAGGAGCCAGGTGCTTCCTGCTGGTCTCCCATGTGGGTGCAGGGACCTAAGAACTTGGGCCATCCTCCACTGCACTCCCGGGCCACAGCAGAGAGCTGGACTGGAAGAGGGGCAACTGGGACAGAATCCGGTGCCCCAACGGGGACTAGAACCCGGAGTGCCGGAGCTGCAGGTGGAGAATTAGCCTAGTGAGCCGCAGCGCCAGCCTTCCTTCTCTCTTAAGTAGCCTCAGTTCTATTTCCCTACTCTATTCATCAACTTTTTTTTTTTTTAAGATTTATATATTTACTGAAAGAGTTACAGAGTGGAGGGTGTGGAGGGGGATGGAGGAAGAGAGGGAAGGGGAGGGGAAAGGGGAGAGGGAGAAAGAGAGAGAGAGAGAGAGAGGGAGAGAGAGAGAGAGAGGGAGGAAGAGAGAGAGAGGGAGGAAGAGAGAGAGAGGGAGAGAGAGAGAGAGAAGGAATCTTTCATCTCCTGGTTCACTCTCCAGATGGCTGCAACAGCCAGGGCCAGGCTGAAGCCAGGAGCCAGGAACTTCTTCCAGGTCTCCCACATGAGTGCAGGGGCCTAACCACTTGGCCCATATTCTGCTGCTTTCCCAGGCACATTAGCAGGGAGCTGGATTGGAAGTGGAGCAGACTGGAATTGAACTGGCACCCATATGGGATGTCGGTGTTCCAGTTGGCAGCTTTACCTGCTACACCACAACTCTGGCCCCCACTCATAAACCTTCTAAAGAGATACTTGCACCTGCTTACATCTCCCCTGCCAATTTGCTCCTCCATCTACTGAGTATCCCATTACCTAAGACATTTCACTCAGCTGTCAAACAAAGACCTAGCAATTACAGAAGGCAATTGGTTCTTCTAATTTTTCCTAATCCTCTAGACTCTTATTTCTGCTCACTGTCCCTATCCTGTAACTACTGTCTTGTTTCTTTTCTCTTCATCCTGTAAAAGCCAAATTTATTACCTATTCTCTGCCATGATATTGTCCACTCCTAGTCCTTTGTTTTTCATGCAACATGACTATTTATTTGCTCATTCATAGACAAAACTTTATCATTCTCTTTGATACTCATTCTCCATTTGCTGTCTCTCAACACACAAATACACACATACACACACACACACACGGGCATACAACATTCTGTGAGCCTCTTGCCTCGAAAATCTGGACCAATCTCTTTTGTTCCGAGGCCACTCTCTCGACCTAGGCTATTTCTTCCTGTGGATTTTGATGTGCAACACTTCCCTGCAGGCATTTCATCACGCAATCGTTCAACAACGGAGTAATCCGAGTACAATGAAAACAAGAACATGACCAGGCCAAACCCCAACTAAAATCCTCTGCGGCTCTCAGGTCCCACACACCACATGTGAATCTTCTTTCTTGTCACATTTCACTACTCACACCAAGCAGACTGCCATTGCTTTACTGAGCCATGACGTCCCACACCTCACATCCTGCAAGTGCTCTCTTAATCTGTTATTTTCTGCACCCTCCCTTTGGGTGGAAAATCACTCCTCTCCTCTCCATGCTCCTGTAGGGCTCTGCAAACATCTTAAGGATGCTGCTCATCCTGTGTTATTGCAATGCCCTAAATGCCAGAACTCCACCACCTGACAGAATGGGAGCTTTGAATGCACAGCAGTTGTTCAAGAAGTGTTTTTGTTTAGATGCAAATGCTTAAGCCAAAGTTATGAATGTCAACCCTGTGAAAGTGGGATTAAAATAACAGAGAAACAGGGCTACTCAGGAAAAGAAGTTGTTTAGTGATGAAGATAAGTAGACATCAATAGTACAACTGTTAAAAAATGCAACCAGTGGAGCCTGTGCTGTGGTTTAGTAGGTTAAACCTCAGCCTGTGGCACTAGCATCACACAGGGGTGCCGCTTGAGTCCCAACTGTTCCATTTCTGATCTGTCTCCCTGCTAACGGCCTGGGAAAGCAGTAGAAGATGGCCCAATGCTTGGGCCCCTGCACCTGCATGGGAGACCTGTAAGTAGCTCCTGGCTCCTGGCTTTGGATCGGCACAGCTCCAGCCATTGTGGCCATTTGGAGAGTGAACCAGCAGATGGAAGACCTCTCTCTCCCTCCCTCCCTCTCTCTCTCTCTGTAACTCTACCTCTCAAATAAATAAATAAATTTTTTAAAAATGGCAAACAAGAACTACAAGTGGTACAAATGAGTAGAACACAACTTCATTTCTAGAACCTCATGAGATCTTGATGAGCTGTTCCTGATCAGATAGCAAGTACAGCAGGAGACCTTCAGGTCCCAAAAGCCTCATTCCTAGGAGAGGAGCTGCAACTCTTAGGAGTTTTTGAGATAGTAGCATGAGAAGATGGTCAAGGTTATTAGAAAAATGTATAGAAAAGTACTACAGAATAATTCTATGTAAAGATAAGTTCTCTCTCTCTTTCTCTCTCTCTCTCTCTCTCTCACACACACACACACACACACACACACACCCCACACACAGTTTAGGTACTGAGTAAGAGTAAGGACCTACTCAGAAACCCCTGGATATAAAAGCATGTGACTACTACAGAATACACAAGAACGGAATGTGCAGAGGAAATGCGCTAATGATGCTCCATGATCTGCAAACCTGCCTGTCAGTTTTAATTACTGTTCAAGCTGTGCCATGTCTTAAATGATATTCAAGTCTGTCTAATGTTTTCTGTGCTGGCCTCTAGCCATTCATATTTCGAAAATGGTTTCATTTGGGCAAAGCCTCAAAAAGATCTCTCAGATGACCTGGTAAACCATGCTGACATCTGTACATGCATCAGTTGAGCTATATTAAAAAAAAAAAAAAAAAAAGCTATCTACTATCACAAAGATTTTTCAACTGAGCTGAAATCTTTTTCAAGTATCAGAAAATATTCATTTTTGCTGGTTAGCTAAAACACAGTTTCTACATGGATACAAGCTAATGTTTTTTTTTAAAGATTTATTTATTTGAAAGGTAGAGTTACAGAGAGGCAAAGGCTGAGAGAGAGAGAGGAAGGTCTTTCATCCACTGGTTCACTCCTCAAATGGCTGCAATGGCCAGACCTGTGCCAATCCAAAGCCAGGAGCCAGGAGCTTCCTCCGGGTCTCCCATTTGGGTGTAGGGGCCCAAGGACTTGGGCCATCTTCTACTGCTTTCCCAGGCCATATCAGAGAGCTGGATTGGAAGTGTAACAGCTGGGACTTGAACTGGCACCCATATGGGATGCCGCCACTGCAGGCAGTGGTTTTACCCACTACGCCACAGCACCAGCCCCAAGATAATGTTTTAAGTGTAATTTTCCATTGAAAATATAATTTGCACTTTTTCCAGAAAATATATTGCATTGGGAAATACAAATCTCTTGCTGAGAGTGACAGTGTATCCAACTTCATTCTACTACTCATTTTCAGCGTAATGAATTTTCATAGTCTTTTTATGTTAGAGGAGAGTGACACAGTTGAACAAAAATTAAAAACAAATAGTTTGATTACATTATTGACCTAGAGATAAGTTCGCTTGATTTTCCCACACATTGCCTCTTCTCTTCGCCTGTCCTTTTACTTACATATCACTGGCAATGGAGGAATTCCGGGACATAGACTTTGGAGAGAGGTCATAGTCACTGTCGGATCGATAGAGGAAGGACTCCCGGCGTTGACTGTGGACAAAATTTGCTTGGAGAATTAGCCCAGATCCTGGGCTGGTCATGGGATCCAAGGGACTCCGTCCCGCAGATGTGCCATTGTCCACATCAAAACTGTGAATGAAAGAGAAGAATTGATGTTGCAGTGAATACTGGCAGGTTCATGTTTCAGCAAAGGTTTAGTTGAAGTTCAAGAATTAACACTGAGAAAAGTTACAACTGGTTCTTGCTGTTAAAAATGATACTATTTTAAAAAGATAATACTGAAGTACACAAAAATAAGAAACAAATTGACTTCATATTCTTTCTTTCCTAAACTATTGTCAATTGGCCAATGATGAGGGTCCTTCAAAAGGTAAGTGTACAAAGTGTAAAATATTTATCTTTTAATTCTATTTTCCACATACTCTCTGAAACTCATGCTCATGAAACACAGGTCTTTCTAAACTCAATTTCAGTTAAAGAGGAACCATCATGCAAAAACAGCTCTTCTCAATATAGAATTTCCTTTTGGGAAAATAACAAATATATAGCAATTCACCAACTATTAGCGTTCAATTCATTCTGTGTCTAATGTCATCACTCCCTTCTAGCTAGGTTTCCTTCACTCCATGACATCTTCCTCATCACCAACATCTACTGTATCCAACTCCTTCCATTCCCCCTTCCAAAATAATAAACTCAGGATGCTCTCAACTGGCACCTACACTGCAACAGTAACAATAGCTTTTATATTAATTTTTTGAACCTGCTTCTTGCCCTGTACCAAGTGATTCTTAAAATCGAAGTCTGAGTGAGGCATCCTCCAGTTTAAGACTTTGCAGTAACTCATCTTACCCCTCAAGGTAGAGTCCAGATTTTTTTGGCTAGACTGAAAGCCTTTCACCCTGCTCAGTTAGCATTAATCACCTTCCCAATCTCAACCTGTATCCCTCTTCCATTGGGTTCACGATACCCCACTGAAATTTTATCAAACCTGGGAGTCATAGTTTGTCACTGTCTAACCACCTGCTCCTGCAGTTACTCAATTCCCATCTTCCCTGCCTGCTGGGGACACTTCCTTGAACACCCAGCCTTTACTGGAAAGGATGCTGTGACACCACCAGACTTTATGCAATGCCCTTCCTCTATGCTAGCAAGACAACTCCCCACTCTATATTCATAGAATGTACAAGGACTTGAAAATTGTAGTCCTCCAGTCTCCATTCCTGGACTGTGAACTCTGAGAATGGAAACTAGGACTATTCTTAGCAGCTCACGTGAAACTTCAAAAACCTTTTCTAAATGGTTCGAATGAATGATGGAATGATTAAAAGATACTATGCCCAAAAAATACAGATTTCAGAGTTGGAAAAAAAAGGAACCATAACATATAGTTCTTAATGTCATTGTTGTAATTTAGAAAAACTTTTCATATAAAGCCTGTCTAGTGAAGTATCAACCAGGATTAAGAGAAAGTCAACTCTTATCTGTTCTTAGGAGAGGAAGTTGAGGGTGTAAGATAGCCCAGTAGGTATGTAGTTAAGAAAAAAAATGTTGAATGAATAAATGAACACATGAATTCAAGCTTACCACTTAGTGGACAAATTGTTCAAACTATTAACCATATAATTAAAACATTCTTTGATTTTTTATTAGATTTATTAATAAACACATTAGGATCCGAAGATTGGAAGCCAGAGTGGAAGGTAGGGCATGTATTCACAGCTGACCAATGAATCCATGACCAGTGAACACTGATTCTCAATCAACTCATAGAGTACAAAGAGGAAAAATTAATAATCTAGCTTGACCAGTCACAAACATGCTTTCCAATTGAAAGCTGCCTTATAATTGTGATACTTTATAAATGCATTTCTTTGCTCCAGGAAGGACAAAGAGAGATTATCTACTTGAAGACTGATTTTACAGGTCCTAGAAAAGTCCATTGACCAAAGTCACTGTCCTGACTGGATTCAATCCTCCAACGTTCCTGAACTCCTTCGAGCTCTATTGCATGATTATACAAACCACAGATACAAGGATCTTTCAAAGGTTTACAAAACAGAGACTTAAAAGATGTTTCTTTTACTGAAAAAAATTGAAATCTATTCATAGTTTTTACTAATAAGGATTTCCATGAAGACCACTGCTCCTTGTTGGTTACTGTGACACCCAAACAAAGGCATCTGTTTCACCTAGGGAGGACAGGCACTGTGTATGTGGGACTTTGACCATCTTGAGGGAGGCCCGAGGGGAAAAGGATCTCTCTCCAATGGGCACGCTAGGGATCTCAGGCAGCTCTTCTTGGATACACTTCATTTAAAAAGCATTTATTAAACACCTATTATGGGCCGGCGCCGCGGCTCACTAGGCTAATCCTCCGCCTTGCGGCGCCGGCACACCGGGTTCTAATCCCGGTTGGGGCACCGGATTCTGTCCCGGTTGCCCCTCTTCCAGGCCAGCTCTCTGCTGTGGCCAGGGAGTGCAGTGGAGGATGGCCCAGGTGCTTGGGCCCTGCACCCCATGGGAGACCAGGAAAAGCACCTGGCTCCTGGCTCCTGCCATCGGATCAGCGCGGTGCGCCGGCCGCAGCGCGCCGGCTGCGGCGGCCATTGGAGGGTGAACCAACAGCAAAAGGAAGACCTTTCTCTCTGTCTCTCTCTCTCACTGTCCACTCTGCCTGTGCCTGTCAGAAATAAATAAAAAAAAAAAAAAGGATCACCTATTATGAGCACATGGAGATGCCAAAAGAAAGGAGATCACAGTAATTTGTGCAGGGCTATCTGTGAATTCTTCAAAGAGGAACCATATTTAAAAAGGACTTTGAAAGGTATTCAATACATAGCTGGAAGACATTAAAGACTTTTTAGTGGGGGAAAAATAGGAATAGATTCTCTTTTTAGAAGAGAGTTACAGCAATTCTTTAGCACTTAACAATGTGCACTTACATAAAAAAGATTATTTTGATTTCTCTTTAACATCAAGTTGTTCTTACTGTTAAAAAAGGGAAATACTTTCTCCTTAGTATGTACAAACAGAAAAATAGGAGAAATAGGATAGTTGTTTTTGGTTATTTTTTCTGAGTTCATATCAATGAATCAGTAATGCACATTTTAAAAAAGTTATTTTAATATTTCCAATTTAATTATGCAAATCTTATTAAGACAACCCACTAAAAGTTTTGAAACAAATGTTTCTGTCTTTAAAAATTACACATTTTATGACATAATATTATATCCTATAACCAAAACATTTATTAATAAAGCATGATATTGTAGGGACTTTGAGATTTTTCTTTGTAGGTTGTAATATACCAATTTGTCCACTAGATGGAACTCATTTTCTTAAATAAGGAAAATCTATTTTAAATAAATTTGAAGGTCTAAAAGACCTCTTTCTTGCAGATTTAGGAAAACAATCTCTTAAATATCCAAAAAATAAAATCTCACCATCCATAGGAAGCAATTACCAGTATTGATAAAATTACATTAACCTAAGAAATATTAGCATTAGTGTTACAGACTGAGAAAGAAGATATAAAACTAGTCACTGATGTTTTAGTAGGCCTTTACTCCTACATAAAAAAAAAAAAAAAACTCAAGAAGATTTCACTAAATTTCTAGAAGGAGTTCTGAATACTTAACACAGTGGGCAAGGTAATGTGGGTGTCATCAATGGTGTAAGGAAGCACTCTAAATTTTGGTAACAGACGTGTTCTCAGAATGGGTCTGTACTCATTTGCATTATTAATTTCCATTTTGCTAAATGCTCCTATAGTCAATCTTTATTATCAAGACTGATACTACTGAGAAGCCCCAGTCTGAAGAATGAATGAATGTTAGGGCTAATAAGTAGCCTTACAGAACAAGAGACGTTGATTGAAGAAAGCCTCCTTTTTAAGTTGCGCATTTTTCCTTTAATTTATTTTTAATTAACAGAAAAATCTGGATTTTTTATTGTGTAGAATATGATGTTTTGAAACATGTAAACATTGTGGAATGGTTCAACTGAGCTAATGTAATATATGCATTGTCTCACAGGTTAATCATTTTTTTGTGGTGATAACACATACAACCTACTCTCTCAATGATTTTCCTAATAAAAGCATTATTCTTTTTTATTTTTTTTATTTTTTTTATTTATTTTATTATTATTATTATTTTTTTTTTTTGACAGGCAGAGTGGACAGTGAGAGAGAGAGAGACAGAGAGAAAGGTCTTCCTTTGCCGTTGGTTCACCCTCCAATGGCCGCCGCGGCCAGCGCGATGCGACCGGCGCACCGCGCTGATCCGATGGCAGGAGCCAGGAGCCAGGTGCTTTTCCTGGTCTCCCATGGGGTGCAGGGCCCAAGCACCTGGGCCATCCTCCACTGCACTCCCGGGCCACAGCAGAGGGCTGGCCTGGAAGAGGGGCAACCGGGACAGAATCCGGCGCCCCGACCGGGACTAGAACCCGGTGTGCCGGCGCCGCTAGGCGGAGGATTAGCCTAGTGAGCCGCGGCGCCGGCCAAAAGCATTATTCTTAACCATAGATACTGTGTTGTGCAGTGACCTGCCTCTGACCATAGATGATATACAAAGGTTTCCCTTTAAGAAAAGCACCGTGTAGGAAAACCAACACTTACAAAAACAAGCTGGAATGAAAAAGGAGAGGCACACACAATAAGTATGACAGCAGTTTAGGAGCTGTGGATATAAAAATGAGAAGTGGATCTGGGATTGATATTGAGCTCAGAATTGAGGCTTATTTAGAACATAGATCTATTAGTGATCACAAAAGCTTGCTGATCCAGGGTTTCCTAGCCATATTTTGGCTCACACATGCCCTTTTCAGTGTACTTTTAAAAACATTAATTTTTAGATTAACAATGATTATATTTATGGGGCACAGTGTAATATCTCAAGATAGGGATACAATGGACACTGATCAGATTAGGGTTATCAATGTCTCCCCTTTTTCGTCATTACTTTACAATTGGAACCCTGGTGCTCCTTTCTTCTATTTGCTCAGAAAATACGTCATAGGTCATTGTGAACTGTAATCACGTCACTATGCTGTGTAACAGTAGGAACTCATTCCTTTTATCTAACTGTGATTTAGGACCCGTTATCTAACCTGCTCTGCCCCTTGCT